GGAAGTTCTTTCATGCAATAAAAGTTTAAGGTTGACACAAAGCCAAGAGAACAAACTCATAAAAACGTAAATTCATATTCGTTCTCTTTTTTGGTCTCTTTTCCTTCAACTTAATTCTAAGTTTCCCAAAATATCTGTTAAAATAAAAAGAGCCGTTCCATAGAAATCCTTCACAAGTAGTAATTTTCATGTAATTTGGAGCAATTTTTAATTTTCCAACCACCAATCACTGTTGGTCATGTTGTTGACAAATCTCTACCATTGGCCACCCAACCACCCTAATTACGGCCATCTAATATAACTCTCTCTCTCTCTCTCCCCCCCCTCCCTAATGAGGGCCATTTAGTAATTTTCACGTAATTTGTAATTTTCCAACCACCAATCACTGTTGGTCATGCTGCTGACAAATCTCTACCATTGGCCACACAACCACCCTAATGAAGGCCATCTCTCTCTCTCTCTCTCTCTCTCTCTCTCTCTCTCTCTCTCACTAATCTCAAAGCATAACCAATGATTAAGGGTCCATCTCTCATAAATTTTCTTACTCATTTTTACCTCCAAGCTTGGTAACTGAAGTAGGTTTGACCACGCTCACAAGCACTAAAGAATCTTCTCATGCATTGCTCATAAGTATCCCATCACACTCATAAATATGCCTTTGGCTCATTGCACCACTCATGGTGTATCGCACTCATTCTCACCTTCCGGGCCATTTTTACTGCCTACTCGCTTCCTTCTTCAGATGCTAGCTTCAAGTGATTACACATATTATAGGAAACTCAACAAAGCCACCAAGGACCAATTTTTTTGCCTTTTATTAATCATATGATAGATAGATTAGTTTAGCAACCTTTTTATTATTTCCTAGATGGCTATTTAGAATACCATCATATTTATATTACCCAGAAGATCAAGATAAGATGACATTCACCCGTTCTTTCGAAACTTTCTCATTTAAGGCTTCATGTGGGACGGCTTTTTTATTGCTTCTTAAAGAGCTTTTTAGCACAAAAATTTTAATTTTTGTATTAAAAAGTTGCTTTAAGATGCAATAAGAAAACCGTCCCGAATGAAGCCTAAATGAATGCTCTTTGGTTTTTGCAATACCCCTACAACATTTCAATGATCTATGATGTCTATAATTTCAAATTTAATAGAGCATTGTATTTTTTTAATCAAATTTATATTTTTGTTACTGAAAAACATGAATAACTTTGTATTGACAAAACTTTCACCGTGTAACTTTTGAAGATTAAAAAGACATTAGATAAGTGGATAAATATTGCTATTTATTTTTAAGAATAGAGGTGATGCACAAAAGGGTGCAAATTATAAATGAATTAAGCTAATGTGTCGTACATTAAAATTATGGGATAGAGTAATTGAGTATAGGTTATGATGTGATACTAATATTCTCAAAATCAGCTTGGATACATGCAGGGAAAATCTACTATATAAGCAATATATTTGTTGAGGGTTTGTCGAAGAAGTTTGGAAAGAGAAAGGAGGATCTACAAATATTTATTGGTTTAGAGAAAACATATGATAAAGTTCCAATAGAAGTCCCCTAAAGAGCTCTAGAAAAGAAATGAATTAATAATGTCTTTATTCAAGTCATTAAGGATATGTATATAAGAGTTGTTACTTGCGTTCAAACATAAGACATCCATGAATTAAAAGGTTATTAAGAAAACTTCAAGGTAAATTTTATAAACTCACAATTAAACAAACTATGGTGTATGAATTCAATGTTGGTGATAAAAATATCCCCAATGGCTAACTTAGGCAATGAGCATCATAGAAATAAAAATATTATGATAGATTTATAAAAACCCTAGGAATGAGAGCTAGAAAAATATGGTTAAATTAGAGCGGAAGGTGGGTAGCCTCTATTGACGATTAGAAATGAGAAATAGACTCATGTGATTTGTATATACATAATAAACTATGTAAGTGCATCCATAAAATGGATAAATAACATTAATATCTAAGGACTAGAAAAGAAACTTAGTAGACCTAAAGTAACATGAATTGAAGTTGCATAAGAAGATAAAATCACAATAAGTTTAACACTTTATGAAGCACTCAATATAACTCAATAAGAATAAATAAAAAATGAAGATTCAAAAAGATAACCAAAATAGATATGATTAGGTTGATAACTTATTGTGATAGGTTTAGGTAACTTAGATCTATTATAAAAAAAATTGGATAAAAATATGGATTTAACATCTAGTAGGAAATATCTTGAAAATTAAAAATGTACATTTTATAAAAATAATCCAAGTGTTCATTAGCAAAGAAGTCATAGATAGAGAAGTTAAGCATGGATGTATGGAAAAACAATGACAGTTTGATTGAAAAATTATTACATTAGAGGGACGGCAAGAATAATATATATTTAAGAAAGGTTAATAGAAAATTACATGGCTGTTTTCACATCTAAAATAAAGGGTTGAAAATGCAACACTAGTGCAAATAAATAAAACTAATTTCAACAAAAATATGAAAGAAAATGGGTAGATTAACAAAATGTGAATTAATTGTGCATGTAATAGCTATATTTAGTTCATCGTAATTACAAGTTATGACAAGTATGTGCCATGCCTTATACTAACTTGTCTTTTTTTTTAAGTTAACAATTAGAGATTAATGTATAACTTTTTTTTTCTTTTTTCGAATTGTTATGTATTTCTCCCATTTCATTTTTTTTAACTATAATTTTATTATTAGATATTGAAATAAGTACAAAAAGGATAATTAATCAGAATTGCCAGAGAAAAAGAAAATACATGGGACAAAATAAAGATACAATGGTGCACAAACAATCATCAAATTTTGAAACCAATCAGTAGGACTGCCTAGCTTGGATCCTACTAAAAAAAGGAGAGTGATGATAATTTTTTCTTGTTTTCGCCTCTTCTAGTCGAATAAGCTATATGAAAATAGCGATCAACCAATGTGTCATCATTCAGTAAACTCCTATTCATCTTATTTCTCTTTATGGGATACCTTCTCTTTTAAGTATTCAAGAGAAAATATCATACTCAATATTATATATGTTTAAAGCAAATGCCTCCAATCCATTAAAATTTATAAAAAAAAAAGTAAAATATATATTATATTACAACTCCTTTAACAATTTTCACCACAAAAATCTTAAAAAATCCCATCAAATATCAATTCTTACATTTCATTTGAATTTTAAATTTAATTATAATTCCATATCAAAGATTATAGTTGAATTTTAATTTCAAAATTTTGAATTTAAAGTTAAATTCAAAACCGACTTATCATTCCTTAAATTTCTCCAAAAAATTAGTTGCCCTCAACATCCTTAATTTTCTCAACAAACAGCCAAGAAACCTTTAAAAGTCAAGCTTATGCTAATGTTGATCTAACTTTGCCCTCCACAACACTCTCAAACCAACTCTATCTAATCTCCACAAAGTTGGATCTATTCAAATTTGAAACCTACACATTATAGTCTTCCCATTCAAAATCAAACTACATGGATTCTCAAATCTGATATTGATCTAATAATTTCAATCAAATCAAGAGGCTAAATAAAAATAAAATTAAAAAACTAAAAGAAAAAACAACTCTTTCACTAAACACTACAAAACATGAGGATCAATCCAATAAGTCTATTACTTTGCATGAAGACCACTGGACTTCAACAATCATAAACTAATTGGATTGCCTAATAGGATCTATAAAGAGAGTAGTCGGTTGATTTGTTCCATCCGGAGTAATTACTTTCCATTATGTCTCAAATGAGAACAGATTTCCAATTTGCCACTTCTTCGTCAAGATGGATTTCTCAATCTTTTCGGCTGGGGCCAATCTCACAATCTCTACAACACAAGTTTTTTTTTTCTTTCCTTCAATAGCACTTAAACTCCTCAGAATAAAGTTTTTTTCTGCCTACAGCAAAGTAATGGCAAATACGATGCACTCGGTTTAGTAATTGACTAAGTTCATATCAATTGTGGGTAATGTATTATGTTAGTTTGTCCACCATTTTTTCATTTCGTAGTTTGATATTATCTTAAGATCTTACTATGCGCTTGTTGCGATGTAATTGAAATATTTTGTGTAATGATTCAATAAGATTTCAGCCCTTCATGAATCTTTGAAAATTCACATGTCCATCTTTGTGCTTTTGAGGATTCAAAAACTTGCCAAAAGGATTTGACAACCCAATGTTTTAAGAACCAACATAAAAAATATAAGAATTTGTTGTATTTTCCATTGCGTAGAAAATAATGAATCAGAGCACATGGAGCCATCTCATTACATGCATATCTTCCTTTAAGGAAAAAATATGATGGACTAACTGATCTTTACATCAGTTGATCAAACTCCTAAATCAGTGACTACAGGAGTTCCGTCACTACTTTTCTACGCAACCTTGGTCCCAAGCTTCCATTAGGATATCTTTCATCCAACTTTCCTTCGCCCTTTGTGGCTTTTACTGCTAAAACAATGCTTCCAATCCAATTAGATGGAAATAGGGTACCCTTACTTGGATTACTTAATAAGAAAAGAAAAGAAAGTTGAATCCCTATATGTCACATTCATGTTGACTGCTTTGCATGAAATTGATAGAAGTGGTGCAAACAAATTCTTACACGAGTCACCTTGAAGCAGCACTCAACAAGACCAAATAGAAAATAAAGATTCATAAAGCTAAATAGAAGTGGCATATTATTAAATTGATAAACTACATACTAGAGAACTTAGGGGTGAGAGAGAGGGAATGGGTATGTATGTGCTCTAACGTATCCCCTAAATGACAAAATGCATGAATTGCACCATGGGGTTCATGATGATGATAAGGTACGCCTTTATATTCTGTAACATATATGATACAGTTTAAGAAGATACAAAAATGTAAAAAAAAAACTGAAACTAAGAAGAAAAATATGGTGTAGCACACAACAATAAGATAATTGGAGCCAAAATAAAAAATTGGGCTGATTAAACGGTTACACCACCTCTGTTAGAAACTACTGTATATGAGGCTGTGAAAGGGAGACCTTGGAGTCTGATGCATTTAAGCCTTGCAGTTCATATATGGCAGATTTGAGAATATTGTACTGCTCTGTAACTGCATTGTACAGTGCCATTGAAAAAGCTCCCTTTACCTGTCAAAAGAAGAAGGGTGCAAAGATAACTCTTCTACTTGCCACCAAAATTAACTAGTCTTCAGTTAATTTTAATTGGAAAAAAAAGCAGGTATGCTCCACTTTAGGAAGAAATGAACAGAGTAAAAAAATACACCCTATCGATTCATAGGAGGAAAGTGAGGACTACTACTCAAGGACAAACAAAGCACTACGATAAAACTTAAAGGTGGAATCAATTTTCACAGACACGATAACACGACAACACGACAACACGAATATGGGAACACAACAAAAACAGAATGATATGTTATAACTATAAAAGGTAGAATAAGATATCATTAATATGATGTTCTATTTTAGAAATTAATGATATAAAAATGTAATTAAAATATTGATACTGTCATTTTCTATGAAGTATAATATCATATACTCACCTAAGAAGCCTAAATACTGAAAAAAAAAGTAAACGGTATTAATAACAAAAGAAAAGAATAAGCACAACCAATAATTGTCATTTATCAATAATACACCAACATTAGTATGCATTAATCATTGTTAATTATCACATTTTGACAATATCAATGTGTACAAAATGTCAAAAGCAGTGTTAAATTCAGAGAATTGGAGAGGAAAAAGACATCATTTTATTGCACAAATTTATCTTTATTTATAGATCTATACAAGATATCTTAATAAAGAAAGAAATCAATAATTACAGAATCATGCATAATTGCTCTAATATAATCCTTCCTAAATTAGCCACCTAAATATGGAAGGAGATTAGCATGATCCAGGCGAGCCTCCCAAAAATTCCCATCCTAGCCGTGGGATCAAAATGCAAACGGACAGCTGGGATTTAACACTCCCCCTCAAGCTGGGGAATACAGATCTATCATTCCCAGCTTAGTAATAGATCCTAGAAAGGTAGAGTTATCAAGTCACTTGGTAAGAATATATGCAAGCTGATCTTTTGATAAGACATGGTCGATGCATATAAGATCCTATCTAATTTCTCTTTTATGAAATGTGTGTCCACTTCTATGTGCTTGGTCCTATCAAGCCGAATCAGATTGAGAGCTATGTTGTCATAGTGTAGCTTCATTGGTGCTTCCCACTTGATCCTTAGGTCTTCAAGAATTATCTTAATCCATAGCAACTCACATATTCCTAAAGCCATGGCTCTGTATTTTGCTTCTGCACTGGGCCTTGCCACCACATTCTATTTCTTGCTTCTTCATGTAACAATGTTTCCTCCAAGGAATGTGTAGTATCATGAGGTAATCGTCTATCTACTAGTGATTCTGCATAATATGCATCAGTATATGCTTCTGGGATTATTCCACAGTCTCTTTTGAAGAGAATCCCTTTACTTGGGTTCTCCTTAAGATAGTGCAGTATTATGCCTGCAGCTTGCATGTAAGACTGCTTTGGATTTTGAATGTGAGTATGCTTTGGATTTTGAATGTGAGTATGCTTCGGATTTTGCATGAACTGATTAATCATGCTTACAGCAAATGTTAGGTTTGGTGTGAGAAAGGTGAATCAATTTCTCCACAAGTCTCTGGTAAGCTCATTTATCTACATATGAATCTTCTTTAGCTTCCCCCAAAATGAGAATTGGTTATACTGGAGTTGGTGCTATTTACAAGTGATGTAGACAAAGAGGGGGTCAACTCATGTCCAAAATAAATCAATTTTGGCTTCCCTCGAGTCTACAAGCTCAATAAAATTTGAGCTGAAATTTAGCTCATTTATGAGCTGGTTTTTAATTCATTTATTGAACTAAAGGTTAGCTCATTATTAGCTAAGTTTTAGTTCATTAATTGTCTTATTTATGTAACTTTTATTTATAGTCTTAAAAGTTGAGTTTGTCCCTTGGGATTCCAAAATGGCTTTTGGAATCCCAATGTTGGTTGTTTTTTGTGCTTGGCTCATTGGTTCCCACGGATTGGCTCTTAGTTTCCCGTGGATGGCTCTTGGAATTCCGTGCCTTGGCTCCTTGGTTCTAGCGGCTGCCTCTTCGGTTCCTGGCTGGGCTGTTTCCCATGAATGAATGGGGGCTTTTCCGAGGCTTTGGGCTTCATTTCCGGGAAGTGACTGTTGGCTTTTAATATTCCCTATTTAATAAGCTTAAATTAATGTTATGTGGCTGTTTGTATTCCCCTTTCATACCTATAAATATGAGGGGTTATGTAATGTTTTAGATATCTTATGTGATGTGATTTTTGGAAATGTAAACATGCGGGTTTCATTGGAAAAGCTTGCGAGCTTTGTCCACTTCTTCTTCTCATCCCCTCTGGAAATCTTGCGAGCTCTTTCCAACCTTTCGTCTTGGCTTCTAACCTCTTTCGTCTCTCCGCAAGTGTCACTCCACCTGTATCTTTCTTCCAAGTGCAGCAACTTTAGGGTGTCTTGTAAGAGTCCAAGTTTGTTTGAGTCAAAGTTTGTAAGTTTTTCATTTTTATAATATTAAAGTTTGTTTTAAGCATTTTATGTCTTTATTTTGTATCTAGAAAGTTTGTCTTTTCTGTGATAAAAAAATATATGATCCCATATATGATCATATATTTTTTGATCGCATCAACAAGCTAGTTTACCTGTTTATTTAAGAAATTTTGACATCTGAGATTAAGCCAAATAATGAAAAAAGGGGTTAAGTGATTACATGGTCTCTGCCTGTACCCGAAAATCCTACTTGAATCTCGGAGTCGTATAGAAATCCCGCCAAGGCACTGTGCATTCGGCGCCGTTTCGGGATTTGTTCGCCTCGATTGCATGCTTCTTGCATCTATAAAATGAGAGCAAAGTGAAGACTTAGAATCTTCTTCCTCCGGCTTCCCTTCTCAATCTCCAGTTCGCAAGCAACCCGAACATCTCTCCCTGCTTCGCTCTTCTACTCATCCCGTCGAAAATGCACCAGCAACCTCCTACCTAGTCTCGACCTAAATCCCTCTCAAACTCACGCAGAAGCCCAAGTCGGCTCCAACCCGATGCCTCCATCTCCCGATCCCTTTGAACCAGACGAGAGAGAGAGAGAGAGAGAGAGAGAGAGAGAGAGAGAGAGAGAGAGAGAGAGAGAGAGAGAGAGAGAGAGAGAAAGACCATTTCACAGAATTCTTCCCATTTAAGCAATAGGAATGTTGCATATTTTGGATATCTCCTCTTCCTTGGTGCATCATAGAGTCCTCTAGTTGGTCAAAGCTTTAGGAGGAATTTGCTTCAGACATTGCGACGGCAAAGGGTAGTGATGAAGGCTATATAAAGCAGGGCAGCAATGAAAACTGCATTGGTTATGGATAGGATAACAACAACAAGGGAAGGCTAGCAATGAAGGAACGACAGTACAAAAATGTTAGACCAGTCCAGCCAGTCCTACGGGACCGGCTCATGCGAAACATACGGAATTTCTCCGCCTCCTGTACGCATGATCTGACCGCCTAAGTGACAAAGCTGATTAGGAAGTATTTTGAAGGGAGTTAGGAGGGAAATTTGAATGTATGAATCGTTTAGAGGTTTCCTTTTGGATTGTGTATGCATAAAAGAGTTTGTTTTCCTTGGCTGAAATTTGAGATCTCTTAGGTTTTGGGCTCTAACAGCATCTAGAGATTTGGGAGAGAAAGAGCCTCCTCTTGAATAAAGGATCAATTGTATCTTGGTATTTTTTGTTTCCATTTTATCAAATAATACAAATTATTATTGTTTTTCTGGTTTGTATGGATTTTTGTGGAGAATTCTCGCTGCTTTCCAAAGATAGCTAGGAAATTCTTGAGATCTACGAGTGTTTCCTATCAAGTGGTATAAAAGAAATTTCCTGGACTGAAAAAAAGTCTTCCTCGCTGAATTTTGTCGTGTTCTGTATCTAATCCTGTTGTTTTTGTTGATTGGAGGCTAGAATTCACGTCAAACTTGTTTCTCTTTGCTATTGAAGCCTAAATACAGGTTCCCATGGCAGGACGAAATGTATAAGTGTTGGAAGGGGAGATTGAACAATTGAAAACTAAAATTTCAAATCTCCACACTCAACTTTCAGATGTCAAAAATCAAATTTCATTCATCCACAAAAAGATGGATGGAAAGTTTTCCAGCCTGGGAAAGATGTTGAAGAAGTTGCTCAAGCAATCCAAAAGTGTCGTCATATGTGGGGGAAGCCACTAACAACCCAGGAAGCGAGAAAAATTCTAATCCAATAAGGCAAAGGGAAGATCAGGAGGTGGAGACTCGAAAGAGAGAAGAGAGAATACCTCCTCTAGAGCCTATTCCTAGAAAAGAGCTGTAAAACCCCTCAGATTTTCGATTTTTTTTACTGCAGTTAGTCTGTACGAATTGACTTTAGTACGGGACGAACTGAAGAAAATTGTGAAGAATCTGTATGGTTCGTCTGGACGAACCTGTACGAGCCTAGACGAACCGTCGGGACGAAATTTGTCCAGAGAGCAAATCATCCAGGAACGAATACACTTCGTCTGGACGAGATTTGTCCAGAGGGCAAATCGTCCCTGGACGAATAGGAATCGTCCGGGACGATCCTGTTTGATAAGTATTGGAATTGAGATATTTTGGATCATTTTAAAGAGAGAAAAAGCTGGAGAGAGAAAGAGAAGGAAAGAGAAGAGGAAGACTTGATTTCGGAGGCCGCGGAGCGCTTTTCGTCCGTCGCCGTTGTTGGAAGATTTGTTCGCCTCGTAGTAAGGACTCCGAATCCTATTTTTGATTTCAAAGATTTCGAGTTTTTGTATTTTTTTGCTCAGTTTTGTGTTTCTGTTATCGAAAAACGTGTATATCTTTATATTGACGAAACTTTTACCGCGTAACTTTTGATATGTTATTGAACTGATATTTTTGTACGATTTGAGTATTTTCTAGAAAGTTTTCACCGGGTATTTTGAGTTCTGTGCGATTTTTATCGAATAGGAAATTATCTGGACATTGGAAAATATTGCTTCAGTACAGGTAAAGCTTTGTAACGTTGTTTTATTCAATTTTTTGTAATTTTGTAGTTTTCTGAAACTCTATTTTAA